CTGTAGGAGCGAAAGAGACCGCCTCTAACAGGACTTTGACCCCCTTTCCAGTGCGAGGGTCGCTCCTAYAGTATTCGCGTCGCTGTGTGGAGCAACATGTATGTATATGCACGTATATGCATATAAACGCACAGCAAATACGTACGTTCATATACATAAATACGTGCATACCTATATTGCTCCTCACAGTTCATCAACAAGAAATGCTATTAAACAATTGAATTTCCATAGCATCGAGCAGTCTCGACTAGAGCTTTCTTACTGTTCTTTACTAATTTTTACCTTAAGAAATGTTATAATTGTAATTATATTAACAATATTTAAGCTCTTCTAATATTTATTTTAAGTTTTCATTATAACACTTTCTTTCTTTCATAGTTTCAATAGTATTATTGACGATACTTGGCTGTGAATTTGGGCATAGCTGGTCGGACTGGCCGTTTGTCTGTCCGTCCGTCTGTCCGCATGTATGAACGCGCCAATTTCAGATTTCCGTGTAGATGCATGTATGAATGTGTTTTTGTAAATGAAAAAATGCAGAATGACTCGAATGTCTCGAGCAGAGCTTTTTTAATTGATATTAATATTATATTTTGTGAATTAACTTTATAATTTTATCAATCTTTTTTTTCAGTTGCTTATGTCCTTTTTCAGGCTGGGAACGCTTGCTTCATTGCTAAGTGAGCCACTAGTAAATGGTTTCACCACAGCTGCAGCGTGTCATGTGGTAGTCGCACAACTGAAAGACGTAGTAGGAATAAGAATTGACCGCCATAAAGGAGCATTTAAAATTATTTACACTCTGATCGATGTAACTAAGGGCCTGACAAATACAAACCTTGTTAACTTCAGCTTCTGCGTGGGAGTAATTATTTTCATGACTGTTTGCAATGAGTTTATAAAGCCGTATTTAAACCAACGATGCCGGTTCCCTTTGCCAGGAGAACTAATAGCTGTGATTGGTGGAACATTGATCTCCAAATTTTGTCATTTACACGATGACTTTAATGTGGAGTTGGTTGGTATAATACCAAAAGGATTACCAAGTGCTACACTACCACGCCTCAATTTGATCCCCTTAGTTGCAGTCGATTCAATAGCCATTGCAATAGTCACATATTCCATTATCATGTCTATGGGCTTGACGTTTGCCAAAAAGCATGGTTATGAAGTTCGCGCCAATCAGGAACTCTTTGCTATGGGCCTAGGTAATGCTGTCGGCAGCTGTTTTTCTTGCATACCCTTAGCCTGCTCTTTATCACGATCGGTTATACAGGACCAAACAGGTGGTGTCTCCCAAATAGCTTCTTTAGTGTCTGCCACACTTGTGGTTGTTACATTACTGTGGATCGGGCCGTTCTTCAGCGATTTACCAAGGGTACCTATATTCAATTATAATTAACTCGCACCCTATTGTAGATATGTATTTTGTAGTGCGTTTTGGCTGGTGTCATAATTGTAGCATTAAAACCTATGTTTATGCAGATTAAACAGCTGAAAAAATTTTCAAAGCAAGGCAAACTAGAAATATTCAGCTGGATATCTACATTCTTGTGTGTAGTGCTCATAGACATTGATATCGGGTAAGTTTCCTAGTTTATAAATATATTTATTATTTTGGTAATGATTTTTGTATCTGTCCTTTTTAGACTTCTTATTGGCGTTTGCGTGTCGTTATTAGCATTGTATATTAAGGGGTTGAAGCCTTATTATTGTTTGCTGGGCTATATGCCTGAATCACCTGGTATCTATATGGATATGAATCAACATCGCAATGTAATGCAAGTTCCACAAACGTGCATCTTTCGGTACTACGGCTCTCTTAATTTTGCTACAAGTTTGTTTTTTCGTCGTGCGCTTTATTCTGTAGTAGGACTTGATAAAATTAAGCAAAAGACAAAAAACAACCGAAATAGAAAATCATCGACAACATATGTATCTGTAACTGAAAATGTTAAGGAAACCAATACGCTTAAATTTTTAATTCTGGATTTCTCCATGTTGGGCCATATCGATGTTGCCGGCTGCAGCATGTTGACTGATGTTAGCAAAGAGTTAAAAACGTTTGGTTCTCGTTTACTGTTGTCTAGCCCTATGGATCGCGTTTACGACACGTTGGTACACAGCATGGCTCTAAGCGAAGGTCCTTTTGAAATTTTCCCCACGTTACATGATGCAGTAGAGTATGCAAATGCGTATCGAACGGTATAAAATTCCAATCGATTGTAAAATTAACGTGAGAACCGTGCAAACTTTTTCATATGAATAAGAAAAAAATAGTTTGTACCCTATTGCTTAAATATCAATGTTAGCTATTTTGTTAATGCTGTATACCGATATTTTTGTACTTATCCGCTTTGGAACTAAAAATAAATGCCTCAGAGCACCAGGAAACACATGTCAATTCATTATAAAACTAGATTGCAGTATGAAATACACGTAATTATAACATAGTGTGTTCAAAGATGTATTTGAACCAACGTGAAATAAAAATTTCATCTGCTCATTATTTTTTACCCAATACAATTTCAAAATTAAATTAATGGAAAGCATAACTTTTTTTATTGATATTTAAAAAAACAGTAAGAAAATAACAAAAACTAAAAAAAGTCATAAACTCAATGTCACAGCTAATTTGACCCATTAGTTAATTTTAACAGTAATTTCAAAATTCTGGCTAGTTTTTTATACCCTGAACCCATTGAAAATGGGAAATCAGGGTATAATGGTATTGTGAAAAAGTATGTAACGGGCAGAAGGAGGCGTGGCAGACCCCACAAAGTATATATATTCTT